AAGGCCCGTATGCAAAACTTAATTTAAAAGTAATGCAAAGAACCAAAAACACTGTTACAAACAGACCATGAAAACTTGGAAAATAGATAAGTGAAGAGGCAAAAAACATCCCATCAAATTATTGCCAATAGTGGTGCAGAGCGGTGAAGAAGGACAGATATCATTTACATATGAGTTAACTAAATAGCTACTTGAAAGCACCATAGCATGACAGAATGGCACAGTATCTACGTAGCTGTGCCTTCCCCTAGGAGCTGATCACACCACCCTTTTTTTCCTTTGGAAAGAAAATTAGCTTTTTAATGTGAATTCTTTATAGGAAAGAAACCTTCTAACTCCTTACAAAATGAGTTTGCAAAGTAAAGTGGACTCCAAGAGCAGAGAGTCCTGTGTTTCCACATTCAGACCTAGAACGCAGCTGAGCGGGCAGAAGAAGGGAGAGAACGAAAGGGAGAGGAAAAGAAAGTATGTAGAGGAAGGGGAGAGGGAAAGGCGGGGGAGGAAGAGTAAAAGGAGGAAGGAAAGAGATAAGAAGATAGAAGGAGAGGGGAGGAGGGAGAAGAAGGAAATAGAGAAGTAGAGAGAAGGAGAGAAAAATTATACTTGTCCAAGACTCAGAAAACTAAGTTCTACTCCTGAACTCCTCTCTCGCCTGTTGAGAACGTAGAACAAATTACTCTGAGCCTCATCAATTTCTTTGCATGCAATCAATGAGACCTCCAAACAAGACCTATGAACTTGGGCTGGGCGTGGTGGTGCACACCTGTAATCCCAGCACTTGGGAAGCTGAGGCCAATTTGGGCTACAGAGAGAGCTCAAGGCCAGCCTGAACTGCATAGCGAGACCCTGTCTCAAAAAAAAAAAAAAAAAGACCTATGAACTTCCTTTGAGTTCTATAATTCCTTGTTCTAGTGTGAAGTCTGGTCTAGGGGTCTTCAGGGGACATGCTTCGGAAGGGAAGCAAAACCTCCCCATGTAATAAACTTTTTTAGTGTAAAGAGCAGGTAATTGTACTCTGTTGGTCTGCATGGTCCTGTGTGTCCCTCAGAGGCTGGCTCAGTGCTCCCTCACAGGCTCCTTGTTTGAAAGGCAAGGGGAAGGATTATTGTTCCCTTGCACAGATGGCTAGGCTTGGGCTCGGGACTTGAGAGGTGGCTTATCCCTGAGGAGGCTGTGGAAAGCAAGGATGAGACTTTTCCATGGGGCAGCAGCAGGACAAGCAGAACACAAAAGTGTTCCAAGACATGGATCCCAGAATGGTAGCCTGGGTGAGACAGCAGAGTGCCCAGCTTCACAATTCCCTGCCATGAGGGGTAAAGAGGGATTTCCAGGGAGTAAGCAAAAACAGACAAAACATTGCACTATTGACAAATGACTCCCTTTATAGTCCAGATTTCGGACACCTTGTCCTTATTCACAAGTGACATCTAATTTGTCCCTAAAAAACTAGCCTTTACATCTTTGTTACTTGAGGCTTTAGGTTAAGACATGTGGAAGTCCCTCATAAATCTAGTCTCCTTTGGAACCTGTCAGGAACCCCCCGGTCACTGCCCAGGAGCATTTTCTTTTCCTCCAAAAAGGCTACGGTAGGAGGAGAGAAATTATCTCTAAAATATACAAAGCAATTCCTCAGCTTCTTCAGGAAAGCTGCCATCTAAGCAAGGAAGAAAAGGAAGATCAGAAAAACTACCAAAAGAAAATCAAGGAGAAAGGGAAAACCTCTCTCTCTGTCTCTCTGTCTCTCTCTCTCTCTCTCCCTCTCTCTCTCTCTCCATCTCTACTGTATTTTACAGGCTGGGATCACAGGGTTCTATACTGTAGAGGGACATCCGTCAACACTAATCAATACATGTGGTGTTAGTCATGGATGATAAATTTGAAAGGGATTATAACTGTAAACAGTGATCAATAGAGACTTGCTGGAGGAGACAGAGAGGGAAAAACAACCTTAAAATGTTACATGGTTAATAAAGTAAAGGGGGAGGGTCAGTCTTAAACTCAGAGAAAGAACAGCGTTCCTAGTTCCTGGTCCAAGGAGAGGTGGGATGGAAAGGGGAATGGATGAATAATCCTCCCCCAGACTTTTTCATAGGCAATCACTACTAAAAGGGTGCATTATTAATTTACAACGTATTTGCTGATCCTCCTGGTTGGAAGGCACATTCTCCATTAGCATTTGGTTGAAGATTTGTTTCTGGATTGGAGCTGGCATCACTCAAAGCCCCCGGAGTACAGCTGCCCTTTCCCCACACCACCCTCCTTTCCTCTTGTCTCTTCGCCCCTCCTCCAATTTCACCGCAGGCACATGACTGAACAGTGCACTCACAAGCGTGACATTCCTCTCCGCAAACAAATATATCCTGAATCCAAGCAAAAAGAAAAAAAAAAAAATGCAGGGAGCCTCCACTGCTCACCCACAGATGAATGGAACTATTCGTCTTGTCACCAGGGGTCAGAGCGAGAGGTTACTCCAAGTCTATACCTTAGCTTCTCTGCTGACGTTTGCAGGCAACTTCTTTAAAAATAAAACAAAATAAAGAGTGAAAAAAAGGATCGTGCCCCATGAAGTACTTAGCCGGTCCCTCTAGAACCTTTCCCACATTGGCTCCTCTCACCACTTTTGGAGCCACAGCTTCAGGTCTGACATACACATTTTTTTTTCTGCTGACCTTTTAGTGTCCTTTCTGCCACAGTGTGTAAACCATAAGCTGATATATGAAGGCAATTTTTAGTGGTGCCACTTGTATCTGAGTGATTGCACATACTTTACGTTTCTGGCCTGCCACCCCTTCCACCTTTTGAAGATCTCTCTATTTTCTTTTAAGGGAACTGCAACAAAGGTGAAAGAAAGTTTAACTGCTTCAAGACTTTGATGGCCAGAAGCACCTGTTTGGGGGCTTTGTCCCTGACCAGAGCCCATCTTTGAAGCTGGAATGTCTTTGCTACTCTATGGATCAGCAGGGCAGGAGGGACTAGGAAAGGAGATTACAGTAGCACTACTCCCCCTCCCTGTGTAGCCTCCCAGCCACAACTAAAGCTGACAGATGTCACATACCAATGCTATGGAAGACTCAGAAGTCACAGAGTCATTGTCTCCATAAATTCTAACAGCTGGGCCCCTGGGGGTTTCTTTGATCAGGGTTCAGAAGATAGGGAGGTAGTGACGGCGTGGGTAGGATAAGTCACAGAACATATTCAGATAGTAGAATCACAGAGCATCTTCAAACTCTACCACCCGACACTGTGTGTCATCTCCTCAAAAGCCAAGACCTCTGTTTTCCTCAGCAGGCTGTAGGTGCAGTCCTGTGAGGCTCTGGGATGTGTCCAGGCCCTGACAGGGACACTCTAAGAAGCCACAATGGGAGGCCATATTTGTTCTCATTCCAGGCCAGGGTGGAAGCTGCAGAAAAGGTGTAAACTCTGCCACCACCACCACCATACTCATGTGTGTTCTTTTCCTTGTCCTAGCTCACAAAGGATTGGGCACCAATGTTTGAAGAAGAGAAAAGGGGTGAGATGAATCACATACAGAAAGAGGAAGTGTACAAGAGATGGGCTGGGTTGGATTAAGCTCAGTCTTGACTGGTCTACTAACATCCACTGAGCAAGGGCAGGAGTTAAGGAAAACTTTAGACTCACACCCATCCACTATGCCTTGTGGTCATTCCATTGCCAACCTCAGAAGGTCAGGGCTCAATTCATTAACTGAGCACCTGAGTCCCTCTCACTGAAGCATGGCTCAAAAACATTCAGCAAGAATGTACTGGCCACTTCAACTAAGACCCTCACTATCAGGGTCACCTCTCACTATCAGACCCCGATATCCCAAGAGACTATTAGGAGCCAGACATCCAGAGAAGATGCCTCTGAGAGAGCTTCACTGGACTCGTCACTTTAAAGATATGTCCTTGACATTGTGTCTTAACTATCTGTGGGGTGTTCACCAATAATAAATAACCTACTAATAAACTAAGATGAAAATTGTTTTTAACATACTTAAACAAATTCTAGTTCACTTTGATCACTTAGTATATTTCAATTTGGGTGAAAACAAAAGCAAGGAAATGCAGCTAGTATTTAGAACTGCCCAATCCAAAGACCATCTTATCTTTGTATTTGACTACAGGAAAAAGGGGTCACCATATCATAGAGCACTGTAACAGTACACATTATTCCAGGGTTGTTCCTCTCCCACAGGGTTCTTGGGGAGCCGCTCGAAATTTGGATATGTGTTTGAGAGTGTTTTGTGTATGTTAAAGTCATCCATCACAGGTGTAGCAGCTGAGAAGAAGAATGAAAAGTTAGAAATCACCCACTGAGTAGAACAGCACCAGGTAATATAACAGTTCAGGACAATGGTCAGTGAGTAATATCCAATTCCAGACCTTCAGGAGGGGCAGGTAGCTCCACAGGCTGACTATGTTAATCAGCCTTCTGTCACTGTGACAAAATATCTGAAAAAAACAACTTGAAGGAAAACAGGTTTGTTTTGACTCATGGTTTCAGAGGTGTCTGTACATGGTAAGCTGCTTCCAATGCTTTTAGGCCTGTGATAAGACAGAACGTCATGGTGGAAGGGAATGGTGGAGTAAAGCTGTTCGCCTCATGGCAGTCAGGAAGCAGAGAGGCTGAGAGAAAGCTTTCTTGATCCCCAGAGCCCATCAGCTAGCAACCAAGCTTTGAACACAATGAGAGATTTGGGAACATTTTAAATCCTCTTGTCTCTTCGCCCTGAGGCGAAGAGAAACCATAACACAGTCCCATGTGCCCTGCTCTGTCAGGAACTTGGCTCATGTCGTCAATGCAGGAAGTAACCAACTTGTGTTACAGGATATTTGGTAGGGGCCATAAAGCTGGAACGTCAAAGGCTGTCTTCAAAGAAAGAAAGATAGGGCCATGGCTCCTCTCCACTATCAGTCCAGACCACCATCTCGGCTGAGGATTCTGGCTCCAAGGGTTAAATGAGGCCATAACAAGTCGCATCTGTGTCTACTAATCACCAAGAAATCCTGGAGGTGGAGGTGTTGTTGAAAGCGCCAACCTTGACAGCTTTTCCTTTAAAAAAAAATCGTGACAAGGCTTTCAGAGACATTCCAGTAAGGACCTCAGGGAAGAACAATGGTGACAACTTAGACATGGATTCTGGGAATAACCAAGTGTGAGAACAAAGGCCTGACCCTTCCTCAGTCAGGCTGGAGACCTCAGGAATACCTGCAGTGGGCAACTTTGGGAGAAGTTGACTCAAGTTCCAAGGAACAAAAATCTTGTGTGACAATTTCTGAGTTTCTAGATATCAGTACTAAAGAAAGAGGGACCTGATAATCATCTCAGTCAACAGAGTGGACAGGCCTGCAGCTGTAGGAGGAGCCAACGAAGGAGATTCCAGATTGAGAATTAATATTCATGAAGCATCTTCACCAGTCACTGTACCAACAAGCCTATGCATATTGTCTCAGTTAAACTCAAAACAACATTGTGGTGTTTTAACTCCATCTTACTTATGAAGAAACCAAAGTCTTTGTGACTGACCAGGAAATGGCAGAGCCCACAGCTGTTTATCTACAAAGTCCTTTACAACATGCCACTTCTCAGGTGTTTGTCCCTCTCTTAGCCTTTCTCAAACACAGCAAGTAGGCCTCAGATTTTTGGAAAATAAGAGTGATGCTCTGTCTCTTTGAGTCATTGACCCAGATAACTTTTGGACTTTCAAGTTCACTGCTCTATCTACAAAGTCCAAGACTGAAGAAAGTCAAGAAATGGAAGACATTTTAGGAAGACATATGAATGGGCAAAAGCATGTCCAAATTAGTTAAGGATGCAGACTGTGACTCATTTATGTCATTTCCATACTCCCAGCTCCATCAAAGTGATGACTTCATGCTCTCATTCTGGGCTACAGAGTGAGTCAGTTTCTCCTTTGGTAGCTGAAGTAAAGATGCATAAGAAATTTCTCACAGAAAGGCTGCCCCAGAGAGACACAAAAGAAAAACCAAGCTCCTATTGACACAAAAGACAGTCACCATCCAATGATTTCCTGAGGAAGGGGTGGCATCAAGGGTCCCAGAATCATCTTCTGGATAAGTTTTCAGTTTGAATGAAAAGAAAGTCTTAAATAAGGGGTTAAAAATCCCTTCCTAGAAACAAAATCTTCACTTTCTCTCCAGACAAAAAGGACAGCTCAGCAAAGTCCTCCTATTCCAAATCAATTAATTCATTTATGCACCATCTAAGGGATACAGATACAAGATGTGCCAGTCAGTTTGTCAGCTTTTATGTTCCTGTACAAAATACCTGACACCCACACTTAAAGTAGGAGAAGTTTCTTTTATTAACAGTTTCAGAGGATTCAGTCCATGGTCAGCTGGCTCCAAGGCAGGAACATCATGGTACAAAGGCATGGTGGAGCAAAACTGCTCTCTTCAGGGTAATTAGGAAGCAGAGCAGGGGAAGAGAGCCAGAGAGGAAAGCCTAGGAACCAGATAGGGTCCTCATGGTTATGACCCCATGACCAACCCAGACACACCCAGATTTGTGTTTTACTAATCCCCTAGGCAGTTCACAGATGATTAAGTTAACAATTAAGCTTAACTGTCCCATTCCACCCCTTGTCAACCTGAGACCCAAATACATCTCCTTAAACCACACTTACTCTCCAAATAAAAATAACAACAAGCTCAAATTTGTGCTCAATAGCACAAAATAATTCAACTTACAACCCAAAATGCAATAATTTCCCTAATTTTTCATCTGTTCTAGTATTGCTCATAAGTCCAAAGCAAAGTCACCTCTGAGACTCAGGCAAACTCTTAGCTGTGAACCCTTATAAAAATAAAAATCAAGATACATAATCCTCAGGTACAGTGATACAGGGTAAACATTCTCATTCCTCATTCTCCAAAAGGGAAGAATGAGAGGACAGAGAAGAATAGGACCAAAGCAATCATAAAACCCAGCAGAGAAAACACTGAGTCTTGTATCTTGTGTGTGGCATCCAGGGCACATGGCTATGAGATGTGAGTTCCAAAGGGCTTAGGTGGCCCTGTTACTATGTCCTTGCTGGCTATAGCATCTTCTCTATTGCCTGGCTCCTCTCACATCCTATAGCTTTCCTTAGCAGATATTCCATGTTCCTCCAACTTCCTGGAGTCTCCACTGTACCTCCAGATTCATTCCCATAGCTTCAAGCACTGTTCTCTCAGGAATTCCTTGCCTTGCCTCCCAAACTTTCCTTTGGAATCTGGGTGGAAGCATCTCTGACCTCATAACTCTTGCATTGTGCATACATAAGCAACCAGAATCATGATGACAATGCAAAATCTGCTGCCAGTTCAAATAGGAGCCAGGGCCACAGCAGCTTCTGAGTGTCTGATCCTGGAGCACAGTGAACTAACTCCCTAAATGGCCCTTCTGGAGTTGGCAGGTAGCGGGGGCTCTCTTCTCAAATAAAAGGTACTTTTGCACCATTCAGCCTGAGATAATTGGGGTTTTATCAATTCCTAAGATATGGAAGGTAGATCAACAGATCTAACTGATGCACTGATTAAAGGGAATAAGGGAGCTAACAGGATAACTTGTAGTTTTCTGGCCACCGTGAGCAAATTGCTGCTCTTAGAAGGAAGAAGCACAAAACTCCTCTGCCAGAGGCCTAAGAATTCTTTAAGGTAAACATAGCATTGCTACTAAAGGAACCAGGGAAAGGAGTAGTACATGTCCTGAAGATCCATCATGCCACACCTTCTCAGTAATAGCCAGAATGTCTGAGCCTTCTCTCTCTGATGTCACTGATACGAAGTAGGATGGCTGGCACAGTTGGTATCCCGTCTTTCGGGGGGGGAAAGAGATAAGATACCAACTCTGCCTGGAATTCCTTCTGTCCAAGTCTCATGCTCTCCAGTCTTTGGCTTGAAAGGATTGAACTAGATCAATGGTTTTCAGTGCTTACAAAATATCGTGTATTTTCTGGAGCACCTGCATGGTCACTCAGGCTTGCACCCCAACATATGCCTTCTCCTATTTTTTCACCCCCAAATTACAAAAGTCCATTTCCCTTCTTGGTGTGTTCATTTTTTCTTAGGCTCTGCAGACTACTGCTCCCCTTAGAGGGAGAAAAGTTTCTCCTACCAAAAGAAAGGTTTGAAAGCCATGGAAAAAGAGAGGCTTCATATCTCAATTCTATTTTCTGTGTCCTAAATGGAAAGCACAGTGAGCTTCAGGACATAGAGTCTCCCAGGTGTCATCCCTCCACCAAAAGAGATGACACAAACTGCATTCAAGTTTAAAGCAGCTGCCGTGCTATCATTTCCCTCGGGAAAAGACTCCCTTCCTGCTCTACTTTCCTTGGCCTTACAGCGGCCACCAAACCCCACCCTCATCAAGCTCCACAATGGAAACAGCTGAGATGAACTAGCAACCTCTGCATCTTGCCACACACCTACCTGCCCCTGGCCCCAAATCCTGCTTCCCCAGCTTTTTCTGTGTTTAGAGGAAAGGTTCACTATCACAGCCAGGAGCTCAGAGTATCTCTTGATTGATGCTGTCAGTTAGATGAAGAGCTCTAGTGTCAGGAACTGTCTTTTCTTCATTAAGTTTGAAAACATGCCCAGGGGCTTGTCTGTGATATGCTCATCAATAAATGGAAATATACTGATAGACTCAAATTCATGCCAAGCTTTGGTTGAGAATGGACAGATACCTTGTCAGTTTCCTGCCCCAGATAAAAACTCTTAAAAATCCCCTGTTGTCATTCACTGTAGGCTGAGATCTGAGAAGGGGAGGCAGGGAGATACCAGCTTTGCTGTGAGGCCCTCTGTTTTTTTCTCACCATATGCACAGCCTCAGTTGCAAAGGATAGAACCTTATTTAGTTCATCACTCAGTGCTTCCATTTCCTGCTCTTCCCAGGACTGTCAGGGGACCGGCCTGTGTGTGATGCTGGACAGTTCTGAGCACACCAGTGACTCAGCCAGGAGGGATCCCCTCCCACAGCTTCAGTAGGCTTCAGGAGGGCTGACAACGCATGCGGGCTGGATTTCCCAAGATCCCCAAAGTCCTTGCAGACAGCAAGCATTGAGACAAGCAGCAAGCACTGCTCCAGGGCTAGCATACAATAAAGAGAGGACAAGGCATAAAAGAGGAGAGGGGAAGGAAGAAAATAAGTCTTCTGAAAAGCTAAGCAGGAAGTCCCTTAATCTTCCTTAAGAAATAAAATTTAAAAGATTTCTACCTGTGCCATAAAGAAACAACAAGAGAGACCAAAATTAATCATGTTTTTTAAAAAAGAGCAAGCACCAAAGTTGCCATCAAGCCAACAGGCATTAGCTTAAGCGCTCTAACCTGCAGGTTTTCAACAATTAACTTTTTAAAGGATTGCTCACCAATCTACCTTGATTTCCTTACACGGAGCAATGTCAATATTGGCAGGCATTTCTTAAAGTTCTGACTGTGCAGAGATAATGCCATCTACGCAGGGCACCTGGGCCATCGGGGGAGCAGAGGTAGGGGCCTTTTCTTACATTATTCGATTCATGATTTCCTTTTCTTCCTTGTTTCTCTTTGGGGGTTTTTTGGATGTTTTTCCTTCTCATCACCAAGCTCTCTTCTTTCCCTTGCCAAGTAGCATTACTTACCACTGATTTGGAGAAATTACCATTGCAGCTGCCTATGATTCCACAGACAGACTCAGCAGGCAGCTCCCGTTCCCCTCAGAGTCCTTGCCTAGGACTTTTGGACTTTTACTGGTTCCCTTTCTAATAATGACCTTTTATGTCAGACTTTTGGAAACCACTTTGTCATTGTCACATTTAAGAGTTATTAAGAGTCCATCTTCACTCATTCATTCTTCAATTAATATTTATTGGGCACTTGTCATGATACATGGTCTCCCACATCCCTGTATCGAGATAGAAAAGAGATAACAATGGTTTAAAAAAATTAACAGGCATACTGAAGAGCATGCTGCTAAGACCAGAAATCAGGGAAAGCCGTCTGTGTGAGGTAAATCTCAGCTGCAAAGAAAAGTTAGACTCAGCAGGTGAGAGTGTTGGGAGCCAGAGGAGAACTTCCAGGCAAAGGGAGAACCAAGCTTAAAGGTACAGAAGGCATAAATGCAGAACATGGTGCATCTGGGGAATAACCATAATAGCAAATTATGCTAATGGAGTAATTTCTAGTGCCAGACACTGTGGTAAGAACGTTATAGATATTATTTCATTTAATGTTCACAACAACCTAGGAGGTATGTAATATATTACTCTTATTTTCACACAAGATATTAGCAAGTTAGTTTCCCCAGAACAGGCGACTGTTGTGTCGGATTTAAACTGCAACTCTGGCTGCAGAACCCAGTGCCGCTGTCACTGCAGGCAGAAGAGGCCGTGGGAGAGTATGGGCAACGGAGAAAGGGAGTGGGATGAAAAATGAGGGTTAAACAGTCACACGAGGCCTTGTGTGCACACTAAGGAACTTGGACGTTATTCAAGACCCATGATAGATTTGGGCAGAAGGGACGGATAATTAGATTAGCAAAGATGGGGTAAAGAAATAAAATAAAAACCAAATAGAAATTTTAAAAAGACACACTTGCAAAAAAAAATAATAATTCTGAAAGATTCTGCAGGTTTTCCTTCTAGCCAAGTTGAGTGAAAGGAAATGAATTTACTCTCCTGTCTGAAACAACTAAAAACCAGACAACATATGTGAAACAGTGGTTTTCAAAACACTGAGCATCTGGCAATGAGGGTCAAGAATCTCTGAGAGAAGAGGATCTTAATTTTTTGTTGTTGTTGTTACCAGTAATCGAACTCAGGTTTTTTGGCTTCCCAGGCAGGCACTTGTGCCACTGAGTTACATCCCTGACCCTAAGAAGAGGACCTGAAAGATCACCCCACCTTACAGGCTGGTGAGATTTGTCAAGTAGCGGTGCCTGGAGGGAGCTCCACAGAGTCCAGTGTTATCTCTGAGTTGAGGATATGGATGGAACTGATGTCCCCAAGACAGTCTGTTTCCAGGTAGAGAGAGGAATGGTCCAAAGCAAGAGAACACTGTGGAGAGCTGAAGAGGAGCCACCCCAGGGTTAGGCAGAGTGATGACCAGCCCGAGTATGCCTGAGACTGACAGGTGCCGGGTGGGATGGGGTCATCTGACAGAAGTAGACATTAAAAGAAACAGGAAACCTTCCACTGGCCAGGATACAAAACCCTCATAATTGTACAATGGCAGGACTTTACCTCAGTAGTGCAGAAAATTAACACTGGATGAAACTGCTCCAATCCTGCCTAAAAAGGCATAGAAATGACCTAAAAGGCTCAGACTATTTCCAAGTAACTTAACATTGTCTCAGAACAAAGCTCAAAAATATTTATAAGAACACTAAAATGTGTAAAATCTAAAATCTAAATTGAAAAGTAGAATTTTCAATCTCTGATATCCAATTAAAAATGACCAGGCCCCCAAAATCAATAGCATTCCTACACAAAAACAACAAACATACTGAGAGAGAAATTAAGGAAGCCACACCTTTTACAATAACATCAAAGAAACTGAAATAGTTAGGAATCAATCTAACAAAAGAAGTAGAAGATCTATTCAATGAAAACTACGGTACTCTGAAAAAAGTGATCAAAGATTTCAGTAAATGGAAAAATATTCCTTGCTCATGGATAGGAAGAATCTACATTGTGAAAATGACCATACTCCCAAAATTGTTATACAGATTCAATGCAATTCCCATTAAACTACCATTAGCATAGCTCACAGATCTAGAGAAAACATTCCTTAAATTCATTTGGAACCGGGGCTGGGGATTTAGCTCAGCGGCAAAAGCGCCTGCCTGACAAGCGCAAGGTCGTGAGTTCGGTTCCTGGTCCCGGAGAAAAACCAAAAAAACAAAAAAACAAAAAAAATTCATCTGGAACCAGAAGAGACCCAGAATAGCAAAAGCAATCCTGGGCAACAAGGACAGGTCAGATGGAATCACAATTCCTGACCTGAAATTATACTACAAAGCTACTATGATAAAATCAACCTGGTACTGGCTAAAAAACAGACCTGAGGATCAATGGAACAGATTGGAAGAAACAGCCACAGCCACAAACACACTCAGCCACCTAATCTTC